CATGACATTTCTCCCAAATACCCATGCAGGACATTGTATTTTTATGACTCATATATAAACAGACAGATCGGCAGTGCGTTTTGGCATCTGTAAAATATGTTGGTTGTTTACAGTTCAAAGGGGAAAAATAGCTTGAAAATGAACCGTGGAAAATGTGTAGATGAATGAATCAAACATGGATTTCTTTTATGCTTGGCAGAAAGTTGATCTCAAGAAGTAGGTGTTTGTTGTATGGTCATTAGAAAGTGCAGCCTGTCTAAAGGCACCCTTTCTTACTTTCAAAATGTGTGATTTTAAGTTTTGTCCCCATGATCCTTTAACAGACACCATGAACATATTTGAATCATCAGTCCACAACATACAAAAGTATATATTTTTATCTTCTTCCTCTGAATATTTCATTTCGTTTCCACAAAGAACACTGCAAGTGTCTTTCTATTTGATTAAGGATCTCATCTCGTATGCAGAAAATATCTATTCACTTATTATTTATTCACTTTACCCAGAAAGGTCCAGTTGGGCTTGCTGAGAAGTCTAAAGCCAATTCTCTTCAAACCTGATTTACTTTAGAGGTTGGAGCTGGTACCCAGTTTGCTATTTTTGGCACAAGTCTGACTTTTATTCTAAGGAATAGCTGCATCACTGAGACAGAGGCTTGAGTGGTCTGATTATGTATATCAAGCTCTGAGACAATGCTGGTATTGTAAATGAGTCTGGCCAGGGTTGGTTTACTTAAAACTGATTGATTTGAGGGAAAGAGAGAAATAGAGAGGTGCAGTGGTGTTAACTGTCCTGGGCCAATCAATATTTTATGGATGATGGATCGAGGTAAAATGCAATTTTGTCTCGAATGCCTCAAGTATAAACAACGAGTTTATTATGTCAAGCAATGCGTAACTTTGAAATGATGTTGTAATGAAGAACATGAGCGAAAGTATTCAAAAACAATATAGCCATGCCTTAGAACAGCATGTTTCACAATACTGCCAATTACATGGGATTCCTTGGTGCCAAATAGCATTAAAATGACTACTAGTATGTATTTTGGACCAAAAACATTCTGTGGGATTGTAAAAATCTCATGTTGTTTGACTATTCCTGAAAAAGAAGAAAATGAATAAATTTTGAGACTTGAAAGCGTTGTGCTGATGGTTTCCTGCTGCTCTTACAGCTAACTTGGTGCCATTCACGTCACAACCTATTACCATCATATTTAAAGACACAATGACGATTTTTGAGAGGTTGTACGAGTCCTTGAATTTGAGCAGTTAAATTACTGCTCTCATATGAATGACCTCGACTGGTAATGAGATGAGTCGTGTGACAGTCTCTCATATTCACTGGTCAAAACAACAGTTAGCAACGAGTTGGGATATTTCACAGTCTCCTTTAGTCCATGAGTACATTTCATTTCTAACTTTGGCTGTTACCATGGCGCCCAAGTCACTGTGTACTTTTCCTGCGTACTTTCCTGTTAAACATGATGCTGCGCTGGTCTGCATTAAACTTTCAGGTTCAGTACATGCTGCTGTCTTTTGGTGTTTGGCGTTCAAATGTGCATATGTAGAGTTTCTTGGAGTAATTACATATGATAATATTGTTAACATGGTTGCAAATTTCTGTTTCCACTTGTTTAAGAGCCTATACAGCTATGCTAACAGCTATATACTTAGGCATGACAGTGCTTTGAGGTGAATGCTAACACCAGCATGCCAACATGCTCACAATGGCATTGCTAACATGCTTCTGTCCAACTTAGTTTAGCCTGTTAGTGTGCTAACCTGGAGGGCAGGCCACCAATGTAGCTGCGCACTAATATTTGGTTTTTACGTAGGCTGTGACGTCAGGTGACCAATATTTAATTTCAGGACAACATCTCGTGCCAAAGTCAGTTTAATGTAGAATACTAACAGCAGCTGACGTTTATATTTTATTGGTTTTAAGTTGTTTTGTTAAGTAACCAAAACTTCTGCTAAACATCTCATGCCAGCGTCACACTGACATAGAACATCAACACTCTAGTCTTGAGGTATGGTGACCAGAACTCAATATCTACTAAACTTCTGCTAAATTTCGTGTCAATTAGCCAATGTTGGGTTTTGACATGAAGCCAATTTCCATTTCCAACTAAAATCTAATGTCTTTATTTGGTCATAGACCAGTTTTGTACAAATACACTTTTGATTTGATAATGGGCAGGATGAACAGTTAAGAAACCATCCAACCAGTAGTCTTTTAAGACATGTAACTAAAAAACACAATATATTCATCATGGTGGAGCTAAGGGAAAAGTCAAGGGATCAGCAAGTCATTAGTCTGGGAGCCATGAATGTCTTCACAAAATTTCTTGGCGATCCATCCAATAATTGTAGAGATAGTTCAGTCTGGACCAAAGTGGGGGACCAACCAACCGAAAGACCAACATTGCCATCCCTAGAGCTGTGCCGCTGCGGGAGGCTAATAATAAAGCCAAATAGCACTTACATTGATGCCTTTTCTCTGTGGTCCTGCATTATAAAATGCCTTTCGGCTGTTTATTTTTTCAAAACAGAAAAGCCACCAAATAACAGAACACAATATACATCACCGCAAGGGTTCATTTTGTTATGTCTGACCAAAATCCTTGAATGAACATCAAGTCCACTTTGATTTATTTCACTTTCAGAGTCAGAATCTGTGAAAAGGTTGAAAAGGTTTCTACAAATTGTTCATAATTGTTGACCCTCATCATGAAATTCCACGCTGCATTTTTTCATAAGCCATTGTTCCATGACCATAGTTGGGATGCTGTGAGAAAACACCAGGCCAGCACAATGTTTCTGAGCAGGAATCATGTTTTTTTCCTTGACAGGCAGCTTAAGCCCTCTGGAACCAAGTTTGAGTCCTATTCATTTCATTTATAGCCCGAGGTCTTACAATACCTGGTCACTTTTTTGTCTTAATTCATTAAAAATAAAACATCTGTAAAGCTGTTTTGACTGGGCCTGATGGACTTTGAAAAGTTATTCTTTCATTTGTGTTTTATAAACTGAAATGTCATTGCGTTTTTGTTGGCTTTTGTTTGTCTTTTTTCAGTGTTCCTGGTACAGTTGGGTTGAATGTGAATCTCTCCTTACAGTCTATAATCAGAATGAAAAACTTTGTGATGAATATTGTGAATCCAGATGATAGCTGAAAATGATGTAGGGTATTTTGTCTGGACCAGCAAGCCCCATGTGGGGAGAGTTTTCTCAGTAGCTGTCAAAAATATACCACCAAAATCAGGAGGATGTTGTATCGTCGTACAGAATATTCTTCTCAAAGGTGTCAAGTGTCATTTCAAAGTGAGCAATAATGAAGCGACTGCCAAGTGCAGTAAACCCCCGTCTGTTTCTTTTAAAACCTTAGAAAACAAACCTATGGAGAAACCGGGGTTGATGTGAGCCATAGTAAAGTGAGAGTCAAACTCCACCTGTGGTTACATACTTTAAACTGAGCCCGGACCCTTCGCTGGCAGCGCCTGACATTATCCTGGAAACCGTCCAAAGGGAGCAGGGTTGGAGGCTGAAGTGGAGCCAAACAGTGGGATCAAATTGAGGACTAAGCATCATACAAAGAGTTGTGCAACATAATCCCGCATTTTGCACCCCAGTAACACATCTGGAGGATCATAAATCAGCCAAACGCTGCGTAAAAAAGATTGTTCTTTCTTGCTTTTATTTCCCTTCCTTATGGAGGCACACAGATAGCAAAGTTTAGAAAGGCATGCAAATACGGAAAGGAAAGTGGATTAGAAGAACGTGCTGAAATTTGAAAGCGGGTTTTCATACAGGCTGGGGTGGGAGGTTAGGTCAGGTTATTTGGACTAGTAATTAATCTGGTTGTTTTGTATTTTGAGTCTGTTTTTTTAGCTGCTGACAAAAGCTCAGTGTCATAAAGTCATCCCTCAAAGCAACTTTTGACACCCAGGCAATTAATGTTGAGCTGTGCAGTCTGTTCCAAATCTTTCACCAGCCCCATTACAACACTGTAATTATCTTGAACCCCAACATGACGACAAAATGCTATTATTTGGCAGTATAGGGGTCAAAAGAGATTTCAAAACGATTTGCATAATAACTCTTCACAGTGTTTTTGCTGCCTGAAATTGAATCTGGATATTTTCTGGGAAGATTGTTCCTCATGGTTCCATTGACTGCCAATCTCTTTGATACCGACGGCTCGTTTCATGTTCAGTAGAAAGTGCAATTTTCCTTTTTAGATATTATTATTCCACTGCAAGTCAACAAGTCCTCCGCAGAGGTGGAGCGAGCCCATATACTACCATGGAACCGTATTATAAGAGCTCAACTTTTAATTTCCAGCCAGTCTAAAAGTTGTAGCCTCACCCTGCGGATAAATTGTGAATGCACCCAGTTTTTTTGAGCAGAGAGCAAACAAAATGCCAATGCTTGAAAATTTGTTTCCAGCTGCCAACCTCAGGAAAAGACTGCATGTGTTGCTGGTAGGAGGAGAGGGAGGAGGTCATTTTGGGATAGATTCTCCCAATTTCCAATGTTTTTTTTTTTTTTTTTTTTTTTACCTGCATACAATACAACCCAGTCAAGTCTTCAACACGTAAAACCTGACAAAGCGTGTAATTGTTTCACTCCTCCAGCTGAGCCTCAGCAGATTGATAGTGCTGGCAGGAAAATGGCAAACAGGAAAGCACGTCCAGATAAACAAGAAGATAAACTAATTAAACAAATTAAAAACGGAGAGATGGCGATGACAGGCTGAAGCGCGCTTTTGTTTGTGTTTCCCTTCTTCACCTCAGCTTACGTCTAAACACAGCCGCGGTGCTTAATGAACCTTGAGATTTTGAAATGTTTTTAGTCCAAATATAATGTTTTTCAGCAGCTCTTCCTAATCCTGCCGTTGGGTGGTTTGACTGTGAGAATACTCAAAGAATCTGAAACCTATACAAACAACAAGACAATTAAATTACTGACTAAAATGTATTATATTCTTCTGTTTTGCAGGACCTCCGGGAAAGCGAGGAAGAAGAGGCCGCAATGGAGAACCTGGTATGTACATATGTGTGTCTGTTTTTGTGTGTGTGTGTGGGTGTGGCCAAAGATTGCCGTAGTCTCAATCCAGAAACGTTTAAGGAATAATTCAGTAGGACATCAGCAAATCATCCTGCACTTACAATCATGTAAAAGTACACTGTATATCTTTGGAGGCCAAAATAGGTTATAGATGTGTAATTTGTGGCCGGGTGGTTTCAGTGTTCGCTTGGATTGTTTCAGCTTCAGTTGCTATAGAAACACTAGATTTTCACAGTAAAACTGGGAGACAGTGCAGTTTGAGAAAGTAAAAGTGATGCCCAAAACTTGTTGAAGGTGATGACGTCCGTGTCTAAACTTTGAGACACTCCAACCCTTCCAGTGCTGATCCCAGACATGATGTAGTTATGTTCAGCTTCAGTATATATAATAACCCACGCTTGTTGGCCCCCGCAAATTCAGCAACAAGTTGTCTTAATGCATTCAGGATCTCCAATCTGTCTTCCCTCCTCCCACGCACACACGCACACTCTCGAGCTGACTCAACAAACTTGGCCCAGCCAAGGGCCTCGAGTATCTAGGAAAAGGACATGTTGTGCGGTGACACTCCCACAGACGGAAAGTGTCGCCACAAATTGAATTCACAGTGAGAAGATGTACTTGGCAGGGAGCTGCATCCACACTCCAGCTCACCTGATAGTGAGAATGATAATGGGCTCTGGAGTGTGGCGGCGTTCCTGTGCTGAGAGCGCAGTGCAGCGGAGCACAGCCAGCGCTTTGGAACAAAAGTACTGCCCTTGTAAAAAGAAATTAGAGAGACAGGGCAAAGCAAGGTCTCAATTTTAAGTGAGGCAGAGCAATGAGGGAGCGGTTTGGTTTCACAGCCTGAGAAACAAACACTGTGTCTGTGTGGAGGGGAAAAAACACTGCTGGTTTCACCGCCAGATCCAGTCGCTACTTTTTAAAGTCACAGGAATCAAACCGAATCAGTTGAGGTCTGTCATTTGAGTATCAAAGATTCTCTTACTTCCTTCATCTCTGATTTTGCCAAATTAATTTCTGATCCCGTTTTAAGGCCGAGTTCTGTATTTTGAGACATGTATCAGTGTGGTGTGGCTCTCCGCTCTCTCTTACGTAATACTAAATTGATGCAGTGTCTCACTTGAAAGCCAGGGAAGATGGGGGGAGGGGGGATAAAAGAGAAATCAAATGACAGATGGACAACAGTTCAATGATCTGGTTGGCTGCACATCTGAAATACCACCACAGGCTTTGTTTATGTGGCGCTTAACTTTCCAACAAACATCTACCGCCAGCCGCCAGCGTGTTTCACATGGCACCATTGTGCAAAAACAGTTTGTTCATTATCTGGTCAGCGAGAGAATGTGAGTGGCTTCCTCTCAAAAAGTCAATCGGAAACAAGAGAACAGTATTACCCACTTCCAGTGTCTGGACTGGAGTGGCACAGTGGTCTATCAGTGGGAGACAATAGGGAACAATTGCCACAACAGGCTTCAGCATTCTCTATAATAGCCCCAAATTACAGACTACAGCTGAAGTGTGCTGTCAAATCAGAGATTTGGCTCAAGTTTGTCAACCTGAAATAGTGCCTGTTCAGAGAGTCTGTAGCAGCGTTCCCTGCAGCTTTTTATCTGCCCGTGAACTAGCTATGTGCAGCTTCTGGAAAAGAATTCATGGCATTTAAATAGCTTTACAAAAGTAAGGCTTAGGAAGTCCTTGTACAGGAAAAAATGCTCTAAAAGTGATTCTGCATATCGGCATGCAGTTATAGTTTTACATTTTTCTGCTACATGTACTGTTCCAATATGTTGGCGAACATAAAGTGGAGTCATATTCTCCGTGAAACTGACAGAGGTGTTAAAAACAAATAAATATGGTGGCACTGTGCTGCATTATTGGGAGCCATTGTCAAACTTTGTGTACCCACTCGACAGGAGGAGAAAAACAAAATTTCAACAGAAAAATTCTGTCCTTGACAAGCACAGGCGAGCTGCGTTCTGCACTGTAAGCCTTCTGCAAATCTAATTTCCCTCTTTTAAGTCCTCAACACTGGTGGTTGTTGAAGGGAAGCATATTTAATTCATGATTTGCTTTAACCAAAAAGTAACTAAGCCGCTGCTGCAAGGTTCCCACAAATTCATAGGGAGGTGTGTGAGAGTTTACTCATCTACAAAGGCAAAAGGAAGCTTTCGCCCAGACTTGGCTGCAACTGAAGGAGAGAACAAATAGGAAAAAGACACGGTGATATTTACCTATGCGTTAAAAATGAATGGGATACTTCATTAGGATCTCTTGTTTGTTTACCGGTAACATATGGAAAAGGAAAAATGTGGCATGACTGTTTAGGATGAAACAGTTTTTGTAGCAGTGAAAGCCACAGTCTCAAACTGTTCTAGCAGGTGGTCAGTGCTGGAAAGTGTTAGAAGTTTCCTCACATATTTTCCCCATGTGAATAACCAGTTCTTGTTACTCGCGTACCTGCATTCACAAAAGGAGGAATTGATGCCTCAAATTGAGAAGCTTGAGCAATTTACCGTTAGAGTGGTGCATCAGTTTCAGGTATGAAGAAAAGCAGCTTCTCCTCACAATAAATCCTCTTTGAAACAGGAAAGACTTTCAGAGCCCCATTGCAGCTGTGTGTCATCTTAGAGCATTATAACAACTCTTCATTATCACATGCTCCATACAGTACAATACAGGGAGCTCAGTCACCTTTACACTCACAGCAGGAGGGTGACAGATTGTGGAGGAAATGAGTAGAAGTGTTAGAAGAGAAAGTGAGACCTGAGTGAGTGAGTCAGTGATGCTGGAGCTTTGAGGATAGATTATTTAACAGGCTGAGAATAACTATTTGATTTTACATGGATTTAATTCAGTCTTTGGTCTAACTGAGGCCATCAAGAATTCATAGTCCTTGAACAACATCTAAAATCTTTGAGGTGTTTATTAAATGAAACATATTGAACGTTTTTCTCACATTGTTTCTTCGATTTTCCCATCATTGGTAGTTGAAAACTTTGTACTGTTCCTTTCAACGCAGTGGGACATGTCAAAAAAACAAAAAAAAAAACACACAGAGTGGAGCAGGTTTATTAAAAGCTAAGTGGTCTACTGTAACTCAGCGATCCATAAAACAACGTTACAGAAGTGCAGCCCAGTGAGCCTCAAATATGGCTCCTTAAATGCCCCAGCTGCAGGAGCGATTTGCACTTTCCCCTGGTCATGAAGAAGAACAGTTCAAGGACATAGGACTTGTAAAGAAAAAAAAATAGCCTTTTTTCAGGGTTAAAGCAGCTGGGTACCTTTTTTAATAAGAACCTAAAGGCCTAAAATGATTTGCAAGGTTCAGGGGAGCCCTGAAATACGTTGGCACACAGTCCTTTGAGCTGCAGTAATTGGCAAAAAGACGAGTGTCACCTCACAAAAAACGTGGGGGGACTTTTTAACAAGCGCTCAACCCCTTGTAGTAGTGAAATTAGAGCCACTTACAAATGTAGAATGTGATCGCCAGGCCTGGTGGCCATTATTGCCACAACTGCATGGGAAATAGATAAGAATCAATGCTTTTGTTCTATAGCATAGGTGCAAAAACAAGCGGGTTGCTGAAACACACTGTCTGTCTCTTTGGCGTAGTCTGTGAATGCATCATGGAAGAGACGTATCTTTGTGAAATGTTCCTTCCCAAGGAAACGATTCTCAGCAAGAGCTCGCTTTCCCATCTGACTTATTTGGATATGTGGTTTCAGTGGAACATTGATGATCTGAGTCTGTTTGATCACTGATTGAAAACACACTAACCATGTATTTTTTCCTTTCTCTTTTCAGGACCTCCTGTAAGTATGCCTGTTTCACATCTTCCCCCAACTGTGATAGCAATGTGAAGGTAAAAACTCTTTTTTCATGAAAGAAAAGAGATGGCATAAAAGCATGAGGTCACATTTAAAATAGTTGTTTGACATTTTGACAATACACTTATTGGTTTTCTTGCTGAGAAAGATAGAAGACGACTGCTACTACTGTCATGTCTGTATGCTAAGTATGAAGCTACAGCCAGCGACCGGTTATCTTAGCTTAGCATAAAGGCCACATACATGCTAACAGGGTGAGGCTAAAGCGAGAAGGTAAAAAGCTGTCGAAAAATGTAGACGACAGAAATAAAGAGGCAGCTTTGTTCTCGTATTGCAGTGTAGAGCTAGTTTAAACAAGTGTTTGGGCTAAATTTCTCCAATATACAAATCCAGATAGAGCGGCTAACGTTGCTAACTCTGATAGCATCCAGTGGAACAAGGGGGAACAATCACGAGGTAAAAAACCATAATGCAGACATTAAAGTACAACTTTATGTTTTTACATGACGTAGAAGACATCTAATTATGACAAATTTGCTACCAGAAATCTCAGTAGCACCACACACTCTGACTCTATTATTAAAATAATCTCTTCATCCCAGCCTTCCCCAAACATGGACCCTTTTCCCTGTCATCTGGTCAGTCTGGTTTGTAATATCCTTGCTACCAGCCTGCGTCCCTGCCAGCTCCCTGAACCCGAACAGATTATCTCACCTCATTATACTGCCGGGTGATCACAGATTCACTCCCCTGTACCAGATGGAAAACTTCAGAGTTTCCCCAAAGATGAAGACAAACCCATTCATCCATACATAAGCACCGGGGGATTGTGACAGTTCCCTCTATAACCGGGTCAAGTGGGCACTGTGTGTGTGTGTGTGTGTGTGTGTGCGTGCGTGCGCACTCTGTTAAAATTATTTATAGTCCAGAGGCAAGTGTGATTGAATAGGTATAATAGCATGCGCCGACTGAGCTGTAAAAGTCGTAAGTTAATCCTCGGAGCCTTCTCAGACACTCGCTCTTGGGGTTCTGGGACGTAAGTAAGTGCAGGTGGTCTCACTTCTCAGCCTCTCTAGCCAGGCTTTACATCTGACAAATAAAATCATACTGTGAGATGTCTCAAGAGCCGACTTCTTGAATTCCAAGAAGTGTTCTCTCTGAGGGGTTCATACAGTAGGAGAGGCTGGATTTGTAAATGTTTGGGATGCCTGTGTATTTGGTACTTTTGGGATTACTCCTTTTAGTAAAACCCAGCACACATGCAGTAAGGACCTGACAGCAAATCTCTCTGACAAAGTTACTATAAGTCACAGAAAGTGCTGTAAATGCTTGGTAGAGATCCTAGTTTTACTGTCGGCAAAGCAAAAGCCATATAGCACAAAAAAAAAGAAAAAGAGGCTATAATTTACAATACGGACAAAAAAACTGAAGTCTGGGTGAGTGACTACATTTCTACAGACAAGTCTTCAGAAACTACAGTGATCTGACAATGACTCACCCAATGGTCACCAAATCTGTTTCTGAAGTTTAAAAAAAAAAAAAAAAAAAAAAAAAAAAAAAAAATCCTGTGCCAGTTTCCTTAAAAAACAGAGGCAGTAGTAAGTGATCTCATGTGGTTTCTCATTTGGTATGCCCACCCGGGGGATGGCAAGGGACACGTCGCTATGAATATTCAACAGCTCCCCCTATAACTCTGGGAATACTGCGTAAATTGTACATAGCCCTCGGATCCAAACAAACCGACCGCTGCTGAAGTCATTACAGACCCTCTGCGACTTAATCGTTACCCAGCCGCTGATGAACGGACAGGGACCTGTGGTTGCAGAGACAGGGAGAGGATAGGCCTCCTCAATCAAAACTCATCAGGAAAAGATCTTCATCGGTGGTTCACAATTGGCGTTTAGACATGGAAAAGTGATTTGCTTTGTTTTGATTTCCCCCCGTCTTTTCCACTACTTCAGTTCTTGTGTCCGTTTTCGCATGGGATCACAGGGTCAGTCGTCAAGTGGTGATTGTTTGGATAGCGCTTCTCGTTCTCCAGACAGATTGGAAAAAATATGAATGGGGACATGATACAGATATGCACCGAGGTGATATTTAACTCTTACACCATTTACAAGAAGAGTAGTTTGACTCCTCTTTCCACTGACACCATATAAATATTTTTTTTACTGTAGGCTCCATAAAGGTCAGTTAAGTCTGTGAAATGACAGCTGGTGATCATGTGATCAGGTCTTTGCTTCTCATTTTTATCTACTTTTCTCATCTTTCCGCGGCTCTCCAAGGGTGGTCTGTGTCAAAACATCAAAGCTGTGTGTGCACACCATTTAGCACTAATCAAGCATAAAACACCATCCCTGAGGCTGCACTCGAGTACCCACTAACACCACCCGCCGGCTGTACTTTTTTTTTTTTTTAGCACACACTGTATGCCATCCTAAATTAAAATTATACAGACAGACAAAGAAACGAGCATGCTTTGAAATCTGGTCAGAAGCAAAAGGGGGAAATATTTCAAAATGATACAATCTTAGAAATATCAAACCCACTTCAATCCGCTAAGCATGCCTCTGCACCACACTGGAGTCTCAAGGCAGGCCGGCCACTGTGCAGCGCAAGCCCGAGTTCAGTCACGTTAGCAGTAAGGTAAATATAGCTGGTTATGTCTGTATCTGTATTTGACGAGTAGTTTCCACCTCCCATTTTCTTCATCGGCTGAGATTCCAGAGACGCAGGTTGAGGATGATCTGTCATAACATATGAATTATGCAGCTGCGATACAGGGATTAGAAGCAGTGTGGGGGTGAAGCAGAGGAGCCTAGCCACCATCTACCCTTCATCCTTCATCTGCAATGCACCGCAGCTCCACACCTGTTAATAAAACATATTCCAGCTGAACTTTGATCACTCTTGCCCCGCCGGAGGAGGAGAAGGTGCCAGTTTATCTAAAGTGAGACTCTAGTTGAAAGAGGCCCCCCGCATGCTCTGATAATGTGTTAATTTACACCTTTTTCTCGGTTGCATGTTGTGAGATTAAAACAAAGAAAATGCCCATTAACAGTTCCAGATCAGCACAGAGGACATCGGCGCGTACACGCATTCTCTGGCACTGAAGAGGCTGCAAGTGGATCTATCTGACATGACAGCGATTATTTGGGCTCATAAGGGCAGCAGTGCCTGAAGAGGCCTACTGGCACTAGATGTGACAACATTAAGAGTTTGACCTTTTAGCTGTCAGTCCCCAGCTCACGCTGTGCCCATCAGCGGCGCTTGTCTGTCAGCACATGACGAGGGGCAGCGCTCGGGCCAAGCGTGAGGTTTACTCACAGTGATTTGAGGCAGTCCGTAGCGCACCGTGGTTGGCTGAGAAGGCCGAATCCTCGCAGGGAAAACTGACTGTCACTACCTTAGAGCGGTAGGAGAATTAACACCGTATAAATGTGAGTTGAAGAGAAAAGTCGACATCTTTTTGATTGAGAGGAATTTTCCCTCAACTCATAACATCAAATGATGAGAAATGTAGAGCGGCCAGTATGTGGTTCTAATTGAATCAACAGAAGAAATACTTTTCCAGCTGGAACACTGTCCCTTATTCAACATTTCATATCCACGACAAGAATTTTGTGGGTCAGAAATTTGCTTACGTATTGCGCAGAAAAAAATGTCGGCTTCAGTGTTTGGCTTTTTATGCCTACAATTTGGTTAAAGCCGTTTAAACGTCTCCCCTCCTCAGGCATGACGAGACCTTCCCTGAACTGAGATTGTGAGTAAAGAATCTCCTCCATTCGTCTCGTCTCTGCACTTGGACGACACACACACATACACACACACACACACACACACCTATAACCAATCACACCACCAGTTTCACTTTCCTCCGTTCACAGCATCCCTGCTCCCACAAGAACATTAAACACATAACAACAAGCAGACACACACTCACAAACACATACATACACATTAAAGTCATTTTCTGCCGGCTAATTGTGATACACTGTGGATATGGGAACCAGATGCCATTCCCAAGTCAGTTTTCCAGTGTGGTTTTCCTATCCCTGCCTAACCTCTGCATACAGATTCCCCCGACGAGCACCAGCCACTTGTGGTCATCCGTTCCTGCCCATTCTGCTCTGATTACTCACATCCCTGTCCTCCATTAGTTTCCCGCCATGAAAAAAAAGTTCCCCCGGGGCCCATGGTAATATGATTGAGGGTTCCCATGTAGAACTAACAGATGGAGGTGTACATATAGATATGTTTTTACTGGATGTCTTTTACTCAGTTCCAGGGTTGTGCATGTTTGAAACTGAGTAGAATTCACTTCCAATGACGCCCGCAGACGGGTTCCAGCGGCAAATGGCAAAATGTGTATCTTGCAGTCATTTCCGCTCTTTTCATTGGTGCATTTTCGTTATATTTTTGTATCCAGATGATATTTCAGTTCACTTACTCTATGACAAACATAGCAAGAGAACGGATGCTACATTATTTTCCCTGCATTGTGCAAAGAGAATCGCTCCTGAAAACTCATTGCTGGTAGATTGTAATCTTTGAAGAAAGAGTTCAGCAGTTTGGGAAATACATTCATTTGCTTTCTTGCTGAGTTTAGGTACGGAGGTCAGTACTACTCTGTAGGGTAAATATGAAAATACAGCCACAAACTGGTTAGCTTAGTTTAGCATTAAGACTGGAAGCAAGCAGATTAAACAAACAAAACATAACATGTTTATTCATTAGCTTTAGTGGTGTTGATAGTCGCCTGCAGACAGAGCCAGGCTAGCTAGTATCCCCCCGTCTCCAGTCTTTATGAGAAGCTAAACTAACCAGCTGCTGGTGGTAGCCTCATATTTTCTGTAAACATTCATCTAACTCAGAGGGAAAGAAAGCAAATAAACGTATTTCCCAAATGTCGAACTATTCTGGTGTCAGTCAGGTCTAACTGATTCGAAGCTGTTGCGAGATCTAAATCTCCTTTGTATTCTGAT